TCGGTGATTGGCTGGAACTGTTTGTCATGTTTCGTGGAGCGGGTTAGCCCAGTTTGTTTTTGTTGCTGTTTGTGGAGCCTGGGCTGTCTACAGAGATCGCGTTTCTTTACAGTGTGTTCAGGGGACAGGCAGCTAGCGGTTAGTGAGGAGATGTTTGCTGTATGTGACAAAAAATGTTTTGGCCTAAAAAACGCGTGACATCGCTTAGAACACCTTTAAATAACACTTGACTGATAGCTTGTGCTAACCTGGACGTCGAGGTCACTTCCGTGATTTGGGAAAAGCCCGTAAAAGTCCTGGCAGAAAGCGATGCATGTAGTGTAACGACACCCAGTTCCAGGAATGCACTAATATTTTGTTGGTAGTACCAGTTTGCAACAATAACAAGTTAACACTAAGTTGTCAACACTTAAAAAAAAAACATTTACAATTAAAATTCACTCGCTTTTTCTTTTTTCCACTCGCAAATGACTTTTACTGGCTTTTCCCAAATCACGGAAGTGACCTCGACGTCCAGGTTAGCACAAGCCATCAGTCAAGTGTAGGGATGGGAATTGATAAGAATTTAACGATTCCGATTCCATTATCGATATTGCTTATCGATTCGATACCTTATCGATTCTCTTATCGATTCTCATTGGGTGAGGGATTTGTTTGTTTGTATTAACTTATTGAACTTATAACTTAACTTATTTGTTTGTTACTCGAGTATCATTTTTGGGGATTACTCATGACTTTACTCAAGTACATTTGAGAGGCAAATATTGTAGCCTACTCTTTACTCCACTACATTTCTATCCATAACTGTGAATACCCGTTACTTCTAAAAAAAAAAAAAAAAGGAAAAAAGAAAAATCTCGGAAACCCTCAAGCGTTTGTTTCCCTCTCAAACGTGATTGGATTGTGCAGGCGCCACTGATTGGGACAGCCTATCAGCAATCACCTTCACCTTCAGCTCTGAACTGACGCCAAAGTAAACTCCATGGTCAGATTTAGATAAGAGACGAAACCATGGACGAAACAGGTGAGAAATGTTAAATAAAGCAACATGGTAAAAAGATGAAAATGACTTGAATTAACTTTCAATTCCTTTTAGATTATCAAAGGTATTAACATTAACATTTTTCATAACTCCATGTAGGACGTTTCTGTACATAAATGTAAGCACGGTTACCCCGAAGTGATACAATTCTGTATCAAATTTATAGGCAAAGACAAGTAGTTTGTTTAGGCATGGTTTGTAGGGAATTACAAACCTGCACACATATATTCAAACACACATAACTATAGAATCAATTCTTAATGCGCATGTGAACGCCATCAGGTCACAGGTTCAGTTTAAAGTCTGTTTAGAGAGAACGCCGTCGTCTTAGTGGCCCCTAATTTAATAACAAATGATCATTTCGACGGAAGTGAATCAATCAAAACTAACTTTAGCTGGAAAATAACATTATCGCTATAAAGCCAAAACAATCTCTGTTACCTTAAATTATGTTTATCTCTGTAAAGCTGCTTTGAAACAATCTACATTGTTAAAAGCGCTATATAAATTAAGATGACTTGACACTGTGGCAGTAGTAATGCAATATTTAGAAAATTTACTCTTGTACTCTTGATACTCAAGTACTTTTAAAAACAAGTACTTCAGTACTTTTACTTAAGTAGACATCTGACTGTAGTAGGCTACTTTTACTTGTACTTGAGTAAAATTTAGCAAGGGGTATCTGTACTTTTACTCAAGTAACGAAGCTGTGTACTCTGTCCGCCTCTGCACAGCACAGGTGTGAACTGGTCTCACGGTTCGGTTCGATAACGATTATCATGTCATCGATTCAGTTCAATTTGATATCTTGATGCATTACATGCACTGCATCCTCAATTTTCAATTTTACTTTAAAAGTGATGTGTGCGTGCATGCGTGCGCGTGTTCACCTGTTCGTGAAGTCGCAGTGACAGAAACAGTGACATTCCAGTTTAAGTTCCATGGGACTAAAATCTGTTCATGCTGTGTGGCCAAATGTTTCTGCATATTGGAGGTAGTTCCCCCCCCTTTGACGAATGGAAATTTTACAAGTGTTGCAAGAGACCGTATTGTTATGAGGCGCCGTCATACTCTCATTGAGTATGTGCGCGAGTTTGAGTGTTTGTGTGTTTGCGTGTCATATGAGTATGTGCGTGGAGAGTTTGTGTGTGCGCGCGCGTCTCATATGAGTATATGTGCGTGGACTGGAGAGTTTGTGTGTGCGCGCGCGCGTCTCATATGAGTATGTGCCTGGAGAGTTGCGCGCATCTCGTGTCTGTACAGTTTGCGTGTATGTGCGTGAGCGACTTTAGGTGTGTCGGTGTGTAATTCATATGTATTTGTTTAAGCATTCAGCAGTAGGCTATACATGTTTGACTACTTAGTATACGTGTAGCCTATACAAGTGTTTCATATATGTGTGCGTGAATGAAGTTTGATTTAAGCCATAGACGGCGCCTCATAGGCTATATTGTCGTCTTTTCGCGTGAATTATAACCAAACTTTAGAGCGCTTCTGCCTCGATGCCATGTTTGCTGCGTTCTGAACCAAACCAACGCAGCGCGTGTGTGACGTCATGACACATTTGCAACGAGCGGAACCGATAAGGGGAATCGTTAAGCAGGCATACTAACGGTTCCAAGGAATCGATTCACTGGGCACCGGTTCTGAAGAAGAACCGGTTCTCGATTCCCATCCCTAGTCAAGTGTTATTTAAATAAACTCCCGATGTACTTACAAGCTATCTGGGACTAGCTTAAGTCTTGTGTGTGAAACCAGGGATCAGTGTATAATCCACTCCCAAACACCTTTTGTTTGATGTCATCATTATGGTGATCAGTGTTTGCTTTAGTTCAGTGTGTTTTAAGTCACATTTGTTATGCCAAAAAGCCAAGAGAAAATGTGTCTGGGTTTTGTTAATTATGTTTTTAAAAGAATAATCGTCATGTAGAGACACACTAACGGGTTGTTGGGTTCATGAACATTAATCACATTGTCTGCATTCGTGCAAATTAAAATGTGGAAGGTGAGCGTTAGCCAATAGGATTAGTGCTGGTGCATTAGTCCCGCCCACTGCTAAATAACCAGCTGACACTGTGCTTGATCAACATTATACACAAACAGCTCTGTGTGTGTGTGTGTGTGTGTGTGTGTGTGTGTGTGTGTGTGTGTTTGTTTGTTGTGTGTGTGTGTGTTGTTCAGGTAACCTCTATGTTATGAGAAACAAAATGTCCGCACAAAGACCAATTTGCGGCAATATCCAAAATCCTTGTCTTTGTGGGGACATTTTTTGGTCCCCGTGAGGAAAACAGATAAATAATACTAAGTTATGTTTTTTGAAAATGTTAAAATGCAGAAAGTTTTAGGGTAGGGTAGGGGTAGGGGATACAGTTTGTTCACTATAAAAATAATTATGTCTAAGTCTCCATAAAACATGAAAACCCAACAACGTGTTAAATAAAAAAGAAAGTGTGTCAATAAAGGAACATGAATTTATGCCAGACAAATCGGTTCAACTGTTCTAATCATGTGTGAAAATGTCAAAAGAATCAATCATCACCTTGATGTGTTGAACTGTTTTCTCAAACTCTCCCTTAATGTTTTCATTGTGTTTAAGTTTCTCTTGTAAAGACTTCAGTGCTGTATTGAGCTCCTCCTAGAATTCAAAGTGAAAATCTATAAGACACCAGAGATTTCTGTAATATGATTATAGAGAGATTTTTATGTAATACATAAGCTTAAAGGGATAGTTCACCCAAAAATTCTGTCATTAATAACTCACTCTGATGTCGTTCCAAATCCATAAGACTTTCGTTCATCTTCGGAACATAAATTAAGATCTTTTTGATGAGATTCTTTCTAAAAAGATCTTCATTTGTATTCTTAAGATGAACGAAAGTCTTACAGGTTTGGAACGAGGGAGTTATTAATAACAGAATTTTTACTTTTGGGGGAACTATCCCTTTAAGTGTTTATCCTCATATTAAAATCCATCTTACCTTATATGATGAAACCACTTCACCGATGGGTCTGAATTTATGATTGTCATGTTTCTGTGAATTAATACACACTAAACACACAGGCTGGTTGTCCTCCAGACAGAAGAGTTTGAGTTTCTCACTGTGTAAACTGCAGATCTCCTCAGACACTGATGAACGCCTCTCATTTCTCTCCTTCAGGAACGACTCACACAAGTTCTTTAACACAAGATTACATGGAGGATCATCTCTTGAGGATCTTCTCCTGCAGACAGGACACTCCTGAGTTTTCTTGGTTCTCCAGAACTGTTGAAGACACTCTTTACAGAAACTGTGACTACATGACAGAAGAACGGGAGCCTTGAAGATTTCTTGACATAAGGTACAAGAAATATCCTCTTCAGATAGTGAAGCCATTTTCTCTGTTTGAGATCCACAGACATTAAAGTCAGTATGACAGGAGAAACAAGTCAGTCTCTTCCTGATAAGTGTTGTAAGAGGGTGGAGTTCCTGGTCATGTGAGTGTATTTTATAATCTTTCCTTCACACCCGTTGTCAGGTAAAACACGCCCCCTCATTAGGATATGGATGGCAAAATGTATAATTGTGAAAATAAACAAATGTGTACATATATACATAGACATAAATAAATGTATAAATGCGAAAATTAAATAACAAATGTGGGGGAAAAAATACCATTATACATTACTAGGAAATAAAAGTATAAATAATACATCTATTTTTCTACATAAATAAATGTATAAATGCGAAAATTAAATAACAAATGTGGGGGAAAAAATACCATTATACATTACTAGGAAATAAAAGTATAAATAATACATCTATTTTTCTACATTCCTTTGTATATGTATTATTTTTGCAGTTATGACCTGAACCAGCAAATCAAAGTCTTCAGATTAACTAGAAAGCTTCAGTGGCGCTGCAGGACCGAAGCTGCCCATCTCTGACGTATACTGACAACAATAAAATACTCAAGACACTGTGTTTTATTGCACTTTATTTGTTAGTGAGTGTGTTTGAAGCTCACAGAGTTTCTCTAGCGTCTGTCATGAACAAATATTTATCGAAATGATTCATTCACATGTTGAAGTTCTGCTTATGGTGTCGATCTTCAGTGTTTGGAGACTCGAGCATCACTTACAGAGACACCAAACCAGTTTCTGTCTCTCCATCTGTTCTGCTTCATCCTGCAGGTCAACAGAAATAAAGGCATGAAATATTCTGCAGTGAGGATATGAAATCTAGAAGCATGAAACGCTGCACTGAAGCTCTATAATGAAACTGTAGCAGGATCTGAAGCATCTCAGCTCTCATGAGGACAGAGAGAAGAGGACAGAGACCCTGCAGTGCTGTCGCACACATCCTACACCCCACAATGCACAGAGAGCAGCGCAGGGCTCTAGTGTGTGCACAAACCAGCGCGCAAAGGGTTAAAACACATGCTAATCACGACACTATGCGGATATTGTGATGTCTATTAACATTCAATGTAAGTCAGAGGATTTTATAAAAGTAAAAAAAAAAAGCAAAAATAGCACACAGTCAGAAATTACCTACAGAGAGTCTGAAAAGGGAAAGGTTTTCATTATAAATGAATCATAGGCTATTAGTATTTTTTTTCCTCACTGACTCTGCCATGTCCTCGTGGTAAACACGTGGTAACTGCGCTTTTGTCGCGTAACCAAGCGGCTCTAACTCTGCACACTGCACAGTTTTACGATTTTACAGTATGATCTTGGTAAAATACATCATTAATATAATCTGAATACCTTAAATGAATCACTTTAATCGAGAAAATCCCACGCGTGTTTTCTGCTTCTGTGTTCAGTCCCGCTGTTCCTACGGAATGAATGTCGGTCGGAACGAACAGACATGCGCAATGCGCATAAAAGCTGAGCTCATTAATATTAACCACGTGACGTTCACCCAGTAGGAAGGCGCGTGAAAGGCGGGCGTTGGGAGTTTTGGGTGTTGGTTAGCTGGCGATTCCTATTTATTTTTATCTTCAAAGTGCTTTAGGTGTCTATTTTACACATAGCTAACATTCCCACCGGACAATTAAAAGACAAATAAGAAGCAGGAATGAAAAACGGCAGTAATGGCAATAAAAGAGACAAACACTTGTTATTAAAGTAAAATATATATTTTTTGAGACGCTCTTAAATCAGGTACATTTTTTAGATTATAGTTTTCACTGAAATGCTGAAATGTTTGGAGTTGGTCATATAATTATAATATAGAAGCATTACAGTTGGTCATGGGTTTTATAGTGAATGTAAGTGTGAATTTTCACAACTGGATATTTGGATCCGTCCATATGTGGGATATGAGCCATAATAACCACCATAAGTAATATCATAATATTACATTAGTTTGTTTTTTGTTTTTCAGAAAAAAAATAAGGAAAGTGTCCTCACCTCTGTGCGGGTCTGGCAGTGTTTTTACTTATTTCAACAAAAACTCCTTTTGAATCATGAATGTTTTCGTTATTTAGGGTTAATGCAAAATAAAAAGTGATCATTTTAAATTGCTTTTAGTATTTTTATATGCAAGAACAGTCGAAAACAAATGCTTCCTGCTTGGGTCATTTTGGGACTTTTATTCTGACAGCTTGTGGTCAGAGCATCTGATGATGGTGTTTGTGTTTTGCTCTGCTCATGTTCAGACTCCGCAGCGATGCGCTTCACCCGCACCTGTTTATATTCCTGAAACCCATCGCTCATATTATTGTGATTAATCTATCAATATCTGCTTTTGCTCATCGATGGTCTTAATATGACGAGCGCTTACACCAGACCTTCAGCTGAAGGGGCCACAGGTTTGATATTATATTATAATTCGCCGTTATTTTGTTTACATCTCTAAATAAAATGATATAACTTTTATGACAAATTATGCCTGTCATTTTAATATTTATGAGTCTGAGGTTAAATGATTGCTTCGGCTACATGCATCAAGCCTTATTGTCATGTTTTAGCAGCAGGTTCATTTACAGTTTAAGCAAAAACTAAGCAGTGAAGAAACACAAAATGATTATATTATTATTAATAATATTATGTTTAGGCTGTGCAACAATTAATCGCATCCAAAATAAAATTGTGTTTGCATAATATATGTGTGTACTGTGTATAATTATTTTGTATATATAAACATGCATGTATGAAAAAATATATTTTATACATAATATAAATTATATATACAATATATACATGCAAATATTTCTCAAATATATACATGCATGTCATGTGTGTGTATTTATAATTACAAAATAATTATACACAGTACAAACATATTATGTAAACACAAACTTTTATTTTGGATCCGATTAATCATTGCACAGCCCTACTATATTTATATAAGATATTAAAAATATATATTTATTTGGTCACCCATTTGTTGTTGTTTTAACAGCAAATGACCCGTTGCACTGTGTGTGTTCCTCAGAGAAGGACCGGCTGCTGAGTCCCGTGATGGGATACG